GCCGCAAATGACGGCCTTAAGAGCCTTTATATAGTTCTCAAACCCCGGAAATTAGGGTTTCATTAAACAGCGTGGACTTGCCGAGTCCACTCATGAAATTGCCGATTCCGACTATGAACCCGGATACGAATCCGCAACCATACTCGGCGAGTTTAAACACCAACTCGCCGAGTCTCCTCAAACATCCAAAATAAAAGAATAAAATGCTATACCTAGGAATCCGGATGTTACAATTCTCCCCCACTAGAATTAGACTTCTCCCTCGAAGTCTCACTCTACAAAGAACTCTGGATGCTGCTCCCGCATCTCACGCTCCGGCTCCCAAGTCAACTCCGACCCTTTCTGATGCTACCACTGGACCTGCACCAAAGGCACCTCCTTGTTCCTCAAAACCTTGATCTTCCGATTCCTAATCGCCACCGGTCTCTCAACATAATTCAGGCTCACATCCACCTGAATATCTTCTAATGACACCACTGCCGACTCGTCGGCAATACACTTTCGCAGCTGCGACACGTGGAATGTGTCATGAATCTGACCCAACTCTGCAGGTAATTCCAAATGGTAGGCTACCCTGCCTACCCTCGCGATCACCCTGAAAGGACCAATATATCGGGGCCCCAACTTGCCCATCTTCCTGAATCAAATCACTCCTTTCCAAGGAGAGACCTTCAGGAGCACGAAGTCGCCAACCTGAAACTTGAGCTCGGACCGGTGTCTGTCCGCATAACTCTTCTGACGACTCTGAGCGGTCACAACCTCTGTCTGACCTGTTGAATCTGCTCTGTCATCTGAAGCACGATCTTGGTACTACCCATCACACGCTGCCCTACTTCTCCCCGGAAAATGGGGGTCCGAAACCTCCTCCCATACAACAGCTCAAAGGGCGGCATACCAATGCTCGAATGATGACTGTTGTTGTAGGAAAACTCCGCCAAGGGAAAATACGTGTCCTAACTCCCGCCGAAATCCAACACACATGCTTGGAGCATGTCCTCGAGCATCTGAATCGTCCGCTCACTCTGCCCGTCAGTCTGTGGGTGGTATGCGGTATTAAAATGCAGTTTCGTAACCAATTCCTCATGAAACTTCTTCCAGAATCTAGAAGTGAAACATACATCTCGATCTGATACAATCGATATCGGCACTTCATGCCGCGATATCACCTCTCTCACGTACATCTCTGCCAACCTCTCCGCGGAAGAGCTCTCATTGATAGCCAGTAAGTGAGCACTCTTCGTCAAACTGTCAACAATCACCCAAATTGCATCGACACCCCCTCGGAGTCCTTGGCAATTTGGTGATGAAATCCATGGTAATCTGTTCCCATTTCCACTCGGGAATCTCTAACGGTTGCAACTTACCATGTGGACTCTGGTGCTCGGCCTTAACCCTGCGGCAGGTCAAGCATCTCTCTACAAACCATGTGACATCCCTCTTCATACAGGGCCACCAATACTCCCTTTTCAGGTCCAAATACATCTTAGTGGCCCCGAGATGGATCGAGAACTTCGATCGATGAGCCTCTTCCATCAAAATGGTACGCGTTCCACCCACCGACGGTACCCATATCCGACCCTTAAATGTCATAAGCCTCCGACTATCGGTAACGAATTCCGATACTAGTCTGACAACTCATTCTCTCTTCTGGCTTCCTGGCCTCACGGCCTCAGCCTGGGCCCCACGAATAGCATTCAACACCGGGGTCATCACTGTCAATCTCAAGCAAACATCTCGCATCGGGGCGACCTCCGCCCTACAGCTCAATGCATCGGCTACAACATTAGCCTTTCCCGGGTGGTACAGGTCCTCTCAGTCATAATCCTTGACCACATCCAACCACCTCCTCTGGCGCATATTCAGGTTGGGCTGATCCATCAAATACTTCAAGCTCTTGTGGTCCGTGTATATCGTACACCGAACCCTATACAGATAATGTCGCCAGATCTTGAGGGCGAACACTACCGCTCCCAATTCTAGATCATGAGTGGGATACCTCGATTCATGAGGCTTAAGCTGCCTCGATGCATATGCTATCACATGCCCCCTCTGCATAAGCACCGCTCCCAATCCGGATATCAATGCATCACAATATACCACAAAATCCTCCATCCCTTTAGGAAGGGCCAATACTGGGGCTTCGTATAATTCCTGGCGAAGTGTCTCAAACGAGGTCTGCTACTCCGGACCCCAAGAAAATGCAGCACCCTTCCGGGTCAACTTGGTGAGTGGCACGACGATCTTGGAGAAATCCTTAATAAATCCCCGATAATAGCCGAACAAACCCATAAAGCTCCTGATCTCGGTGGGTGATCTCGGCACCTCCCACCTCATGACCGCCTCAATCTTGGTCGGATCGACCAATATCCCATACTGGTTGACGAGATGACCCAAAAACTGAACCTCCCGTAACCAGAATTCACATTTGGAGAACTTGGCAAAAAGCCTCTCCGATCTCAGAACTCTGAGGATCTCCCTCAAATGCTCCTCATGCTGTTCTCTGGATCTCGAATACACCAATATGTCGTCGATGAACACGATCACCGAGCAATCGAACATCGGTCTGCACACTCTGTTCATGAGATCCATGAACACCGTCGGTGTGTTGGTTGGTCCGAAATGCATCACCACGAACTCGTAATGCCTATAATGAGTCCGAAATGTTGTCTTCTGGACGTCCTCTTCTCGCACCCTCACCTGATGATACCCAGACCTCAAATCGATCTTGGAGAACCAATATCATTTACTTGGGTACTTTCTATAATCCATAGATTATACACACATTGCTTCTAATATAGGGAGTTCTTGATAAATTTGGTATGGTATTTGTCACATAGTTTCTTCCAAAGCCTAGCAGTAGAATTTTTGATCCATAACCTCACTCAATACTTCGTCCGTCAAGATTAACATAGCATTATACGCTTTTGCTATAATATCCTTATTCAACATTTTAGCCACTTATTTTGTTAGTTTCGCTTCTCCTTGCAAAGGCACTGCACAAACCTTTGAATTAGAAGATCCATCATCTTCACCTTACATAAATTGAAGTCATTCGAACAATTAAATTTATCCAAGTTTAAATTGTGCGGCATCATCTCTTCAATATACATAACATATCGTAGCTCAGATACCACTTATTATAGAATAAACTAGAAATCATGTAGAATGAAAAACATACAAAGACACAATATTTAACGTTGTTCGGTCAATGTGACTTACATCCAAATGGCTAAAGGGAGTATTCTTATTTACTTAGTTCAAACAATGTAATAGTATAATCAAGACCAGAAAGACCTTAAATTTGATCAACAAATAGAACCCTCTGAAAAGATTGTACAAAAGATCATCTATAACTCTTAACTAGATACACCTAAGCAACGTATTTTGGAGGTGTCATCACATCTAGGAGCACATTCACAATTCTAGGAGAACATTTAGGTTTATCCAACACATTCAAGATGAACTAGTGCATCAAAAGAGCACATCCTTCATCGACATCGCATTTGGTGAAGGTAGGAATTCATTTGCTATACCAGGAACACATTTTTCTTACTCCATAGGGTGGATTGCTTTTGAAAAAATCTCTAGCACATTCTGATACACCATGATTACATTTGGCAAAAGTCCTAACACTTTCGACCAAATGCTCCATCTTGATTCAGAATGCTCAAGTCACATTTAAGATTATGTGTGTTCATTTTAGTTTTATATAATGTTAAATCTCTATTGACATGTTGTATTGTGATTCATGGAGATTCATACACATATCTATCTATCTTTCTCTTATAATACAGGACATTCAAATGAATGTGGTTGAAGATATATGTCATATATCCTGAACCGTATTCAATTGAAACTCCCCGACTCTTCGTCTTATGATACTTAAATGATTATTTAATTGAACTTTTTTTTGATATGGTTATCTTTTATAATAATAATAATAATAATAATAATAATAATAATAACAACAACAACAACAGCAGCAACAACAACAACAATAATAAATAAATAAATAAAACATAATAATTTTAAATTTAAAAATAAATACAATAATAATAATAAGATAATAATTGTGAATGTAACAATAAAAATAAAATAATAATTATAAATATAATAATAATAAAAGTAAAATAAAAACTAGTAGTAATAATATTGAGTATAAAAAGATTGGAAATAAAAACGTTTATTACCGATTACCAACATAATTTAAAAAAAAAAATCCAGTTTTAAAAGAAATCTAGTTTTTCTATTTCTATAGTTATTCTGTATCGAATTTACCTGCATTATAACTACAATATTTATTTAGCTATCCCATCCGAAATCCATCATTAGATTAGGGAAACATTTTTTTTTGTATGATATCTGTTGCTATTCCATAGGTATTTTTCTAATTTTTCGCACAACTTATCCAATTTTTTTGTAGTGTAGTATTATAGTATGAACAAGTTGGTCTAATCCACTTGGCTAACAATGAAAACTAAATAGGAGCTATTGGGTTAATTCCAAAGAAAGATAATTATATTATGATTTGCTATTTAAAAAAAAAGTATTATAGTATGGTCCGAGTAAAAAACTAGGTCAATGTAATGGCAAATGTCACCTTTAACTGGTCAATCACTCAGATAAATAATCAAACAGTATAAACTCAGTCAGATATGGACTTAGTTAGTATTTATAACTTACTCAACTTCTAACCCAGTCAACTCTAACCCAATCAGCAACTATCAAACGACTCCTTAGATCGTTCAGGTGATGACCCGTATCCAAAAGATAATAATGTCTATATAGAAATCATCTTAATACCCATTATTATTTAGAATATTAAAACCCAAAATGTTTATTTAACAATGTTATTATAAGAAATATAAAATATATTTATATTGATCGCGATAAGAAAATATATAATATATCATTATATGAGATAAAATATATATATTTTCCACGACTACGAAACAAAACTTGGGTGGTTTACCCTAACGGCCAAACATTTGGAGGTTATCATTGATTTCTTACGAACCTGGAAAGTGCACTGTTTCTTTTTCCACCCACTACAAAAATTAGCACGACAACTTTGACTAGCATCATAAACGCGAAATCAGCCTATAAGTACCTCATACACACTCTCTTCTCTTCACACCTTGTGCTGCATATCTAACCTTCAAAAATGGCGAAATCACCAGAGACCGAGCATCCCATCAAGGCCTATGGTTATGCTGCCAGCGACACTTCTGGAACCTTCTCACCCCTCACCTTCTCCCGAAGGTAAGAAGCATTTAAAAGACTAAAATCCAAAGGATTTTGTGTTTGTTTTATTTACTTTGATCAAGCAAGTACTATTGTTTCCATGTTTTACTTTGTTTCCACTAACAAGAATGGTTGCTTTGAAAATTAAAGTTATGATGCGTGACATCATTTTCCATTGATTTGTTTTACAGAGCTACAGGGGATAAAGACGTGAGATTTAAAGTTCTTTATTGCGGAATCTGTCATTCCGACCTTCATTTTGCCAAGAACGAATGGGGAGTGACTACCTATCCGGTAGTTCCAGGGTACAACTTCTATCACCCCTTTTATTTTTTAAACTGTTAGAACTACAATATGAATATGTATGCATATATTTATCGAACTTATGATGACAAATGAAGGCATGAGATTGTGGGTGTCGTGACAGAAGTAGGAAACAAAGTAGAGAAATTCAAAGTGGGAGAAACAGTTGGTGTTGGATGCTTGGTGGGATCATGCAGATCATGTCAAAGCTGTTCTAACAATCTTGAACAATTCTGCCCGAAGATGACCTTCACTTATGCTTTTCCTAATTATTCCGATGGCACAATCACATACGGTGGCTACTCGGATCACATGGTTGCTGATGAGCACTTTGTGTTGCATTGGCCTGACAATTTGCCACTTGACTCCGGTGCACCATTGCTATGTGCTGGGATCACAACTTACAGCCCCCTCCGACACTACGGACTTGACAAGCCGGGTATGAAGATCGGGGTGGTTGGTCTTGGTGGACTCGGTCATGTTGCAGTGAAGATAGCCAAGGCTTTGGGGGCAGAGGTTACAGTTTTTAGTACGACCCCAGAGAAGAAGGAGGAAGCGCTCGATGGACTTAAAGCTGACCATTTCATTGTTAGCAAAGACATGGACCAAATGCAGGTCAATGGCACCCTTTCTACTTGGATCAAATTATTTGTTTGGTTTGAATGTGAATTTAATGTGGATGGGCAATTCAATGTGGATTGGGCCCATTTTGAGCCCTTTGATCTGTCCACTATTTATCTTATTTATCTCACATGATGATATGTGTGGTGTCACACACAATAATATATATATATATATATATATATATATATATATATATATATATATATATATATATATATATATATATATATATATATTTTTTGTAGAAATTATATATATGTTTAACTTGGGTTTATTGATTATGTTAATAGGCTGCTACTGGAACGCTTGATGGTATCTTAGATACGGTTTCTGCATCTCATCCGATTGTGCCGTTTCTTAATATTCTTAAAACTGATGGAAAGCTTGTTCTTGTTGGTATGCCCGCTGTGCCACATGAGCTACCTGCATTTCCTTTGGTCTTAGGTAATTACTTTAGCTTAACCTGATCAATATTATTTTTAGTGGTGTCTCACATCGACTCACATAATCACATCTGGTTCTGTATATATTTTGGAGTCTCTCTGACTCCCTTCCCTTAAAATCTCTTTTTGAAAGAATATCAAGGACTTAACTTATCAGTGATGGGGTCTTGTTTAATCTCACATCAGTTCAATACGGTCTCATCAACCACTATATATAAGGACTCAATATATGTAACTTGTTTCGAAATTGATTGTTTAATTATACATGTTCTAGTGTAATTGTTTGAAATTTGATAGGGAGGAAGGTTGTTGGTGGTAGTAATATTGGGGGACTAAAAGAGACTCAAGAGATGCTTGATTTTTGTGCAAAACATGGAATAACAGCGGATATAGAGATTATCCCGATAGATTATGTGAACACGGCCATGGAACGTCTTTTGAAATCTGATGTTAGATATCGCTTTGTAATCGATGTTGCAAATTCAATCAAGGTTCCATCAGATACGAGATCCAAAGTCTGAGGTTGATGAAGGTGATGGCACAAGTTGGTTGTTTGTGAAACATTTAATCATAAGGTTTTTGCGTTAGATATTTGTTGGCGTCATTGGCTAGAAGAAGCAAGTCCAATAATATCTATAGCATTTACTTGGTTGTCGTTATTATTTTCAAGGTCACTTCATGCTACAGTTTTTGTTTTTGTTTTTATTTTTATTTATTTCCTGAACTATTGAAATGGTCCCTGTATAATAATGAAATTTCAGAAAATGTTTCTGTATTAGCCGGAAATAACAATTACGGAATGTTCCCTATATAATAATGAATTTATAGAAATGACCCCTATATGATTATCCAATACAAAACTATAGAAATTGTCCCTATACAAAGGCAAACGCTATATAGGTACTATTTACCATAGTTGTGGTAAAATTTGAAATTTTATCTGAGGGGTGATGATTTAAAAGGGTGAAATATTTTTCGAACTGAGTTTTTTTTCGTTTGTATTTACCCATTCAACTTGTTAAACTGTACATATTCAGTCTTCATGACCGGTTATTCCAGATTAACCAATAAAAATGATTTAATAGGGTAATATATTTATTACTTTATACACATTTGGTCCTTAATATTTTTGTACACATTTAGTACTTAATATATATATATATATATATATATATATATATATATATATATATATATATATATATATATATATATATATATATATATATTGCAAAATAAGTCATTTTTGTTTTTGTACTTATTTATTGTTTATAAATGATTTCTTAATATTTTTCTCATTACATCTTATGTGGGATAATCATTAATAAGGTGTTTAGGGTTTTTGATGTTTATGTTCATCGTGATCTCGACAACTTGATAGCTTAGGTCATGTGTTCTGAACGTAATAAGTTCTTCATACGATCTCAGATTTTAACGATCTTTATATCGATGCGTTTGTTCTTTAGTCTACTACAACTTTCATTTAGATTACTCTTGTTAAAAAGTAATATATTTTTAGTTACGATCTTTATATTCATACATTTTTTATAAATGCATGTATAGATGTTTTTTTTTTTTTTTTTTTTTTTTATATAAAATCGTAAGTATAAATATATTAGATTTTAACGGGTGTAATCTTAACGAAAGTTGTAGTACGGACGTGTTTGGCATAGAGCTTTTGAAAGCGTTTGGGAGCTTCTAGCTTGTAGTTTTTGATAAAACGCTATAGTTTAAACAAAAAGCTTTGTTTGACAGTACGAACGTTTAGCTTTTAGTTTTAACAAAACGCTCCGATTTTAAAAACTACTTCATGTAGCGTTTCACAAAACGCTCCTGAGCTTTTACAATCAATTTCCATAATTACTCTTATATATATATATATATATATATATATATATATATATATATATATATATATATATATATATTTAATCAATTGTCCTTTTATGTAATTTTATATATTTTAAAAGCTTCCAACTACTTTTGTCAAACATTCATATAACATAAAAAAGCTACAACTTCCTGCTACCAGCTACGAGCTACACGCTACCAGCTACGAGCTACACGCTACCAGCTAACCGCTACGCGCTCCAGCTAACAGCTACTTTTGCCAAACATGCCCGTAGACTAAAAAAATTAACACATGGAAATAAAGATCGTTAAAATCTGATATCGTATGAAGAAGTTACAATGTTCAGAACACAAGACATAAACCAAACCACAAGATCTACGCAACCAAACAGTCGAGATCGCGATAAACATAAACATCAACAACTTGAAACACCTCATCAACGAGTGTCCCACGTAAGATGTCGTGAGAAAAACCAAAAACCTAAATAAATCATTTATAAGTATTGAATGAGTACAAAAGTAAAATTGACTTATTTTGAAACAAAAAAATATTAAGGACTAAATATGCACAAAAAAATAAGGACTAAATGTGTACAAAATGATAAATATATTACCATATTAATTTATTTTTCCTGGTTAACCTAGAGTAACCGGTCAAGGACTAAATGTGTACAGTTAACAAGTTCGAAGGGCAAATATGGACGAAAAAAAACTCAGTGACCAAATGTGTACAAATCAAAAAATATATTATCCTTTTAAGTCATTATCCCTTGAGTAAACTACATGAATGGTCCCTATGGTTTATGGTAATTTGCATGTTTGGTCCCTAACTTATTTTTTTTAATTCTGAAGGTCGCTACTGTTTGTTTTTGTTACGCGCTTGGTCCATGTCTTACCTAAAAAAAACTATTTTGACCTTGATTATTTAATTTATTTAAATAAACACACCTTCAACCCAACCCCCATCACCTTACATTACCTACTTATTATTTTTCCGTGCTTAAATAATAGTCTGTTTAGATAAAAAATGGACCAAACGCGTAACAAAAACAAACAGCAGAGATCAAACGCATAACAAAAACAAACAATATGGACTTTCCAAGTTAAAAAAATAAATTAGGGACCAAACACGCAAAATAACCCAAACCATAGGGACCATTCATGTAATTACTCTTATCCCTTTTATCTACCATATTTGTGGTAAATTTCAAAGGACGCATGTAAAGATCACAAATAGGACACCTTTTGGATGTAGGTGACGCAAACGAAAAATAATACACGATTTTGATATTTCCAAATTGTAAAATCATAATCTATTTATAACTTTTAAAACTTGTAAAATTTTTAGGAGCATAAATTTAGCAGTTTGTTAATAAAACCAAATCTTTTGTATAGATATAACAAAAATAAATAAATCTTTGAAACCTAATATAATTTCTCGCTAAAAAATAAAAGAATGGTGAAAACTGAAAACTAAAAAACCTATGAAATTATAATATTTTGTATAACCGAACACTACTTTCGTCTTCTTAATCTTTCTCGGTGGGCATGCATCTGCAACCAACCTCCATCGACCGGAGGACGCTGCAACCTGCTTCTCCTTTATTTTAGACTCCTTTATTTTAAGGTAGCTCTTTTTCGTGTTTTACTTTAATTTTGGTTTGGTGTATGGGTATAAGCTAATATAAAATGATTTTGTATATGAAAAGTCAAACATTGACACTAGCTAAAATGATTTTGTATATGAAAAGTCAAACATTGACTGTAGCACCATGACAAATACTTGGTGAGGAACATTAAGGTGTTGTTTGATTTTCTGAAGCAAAAATTCATGAAGTCTGCGGACCACCTCGGCAACCCTCTGCAGTACAAGAGGTGGACCAAACGGCTGCAGACTATAATAAGAAGCGTGTTTGTTTTTTTAACATCTGCATACTGCTGCAGATATTAAAAAATTAAAATAAACTAATTTTATAAACCGAAAATAGCTTTTTAATACGTAAAATTTAATAATGTATAACATTTCGGTAAAAATTAATGATATTTCAGTAAAAAAGAATGATATTTCAACAAAAAATAAAGATATTTTCAGTAAAAAATAATGATATTTCATCAAAAATTATCATTATTGAATATAAAAAAAATGAAAAATAAATTCAATAAGAATAAACGAAAAAAAGGGAAAAAATGTGAAATAAATTTTTAATAACATATAATCAAAATTTCAGCAATAAAAAAAGAAGAAGAAGAGGTTGGAAGAGGCAGTACAAGTGTTGCGCCAAACAGAGCACGCGCAAAGGTTTTTGACTAAGAAGACTTCTAAAAAACAAACAACTGCGAGATGAAAAGTGTTGCGCGTGTGCTGCGCCGCGTAACAGTAAGAGGTTTTGTAATGACCCGTTCCCGGTATGTTAATTTATTAGTAATTGTTTTAAAGATTTGCAAGAGGGACTCGGCGAGTTCATAGCCTGACTCGCCGAGTAGGGTCGCGACTTCGAGCACGTGTTAGCTGGAGACTCGGCGAGTCCATATCCCGGACTCGGCGAGTCCATCCGTCTGGGTGAAACCCTAAATCCCCGGGTTGCCCACTATTTAAGTCACCTTATAGCCCCATTCTTGCCTCCTTCACCCTGAGAACACTGTGAGAAAACCCTAGTTCATCCTTGAGAGTTTATAAGTGATTTTGTGTGATTTGTGAAGGCTTGAAGAAGGAGAAGAAGAAAGGAGCAAGGAGAAGAAGAGTTGTGCAAGATCCAAGGGCAAATCTGAGTTATTTGGAGGTATTTTCGGATTCCCCTCTTGTTTTATGCTTTAAACCTCCATTAGAACTCTTCTAAGAACTAGTTGATGCTTGTTCCAAGCCTTGTGCTTTCATGAACGCCCTAATAAGCCGAGATAACCTTGGATCTATTCATTGAGAAGTCCCATAGTCCAGATCTATTGCCTTTATGAGGATACTTTGCATATTAACCCTAGATCTATCCCTTTTATGCATCTTTTAGCCTTATTTTCCCTTATTCATGTGTTGTACACGTAAAGTTGGAAACTTTACGTGGTAAACCAGCTTATTGGACTCAGATCTATCATTTGTATGTGTTGGATTCAAGCAAAATCGGGTGAAAAACAGTTGCATGGCGGCAACTCGGCGAGTCGGGAAGAACGACTCGGCGAGTTGAGTCGCGAGTCCCCGATTCCTTCATTTTTAGCAGTGTTGAGTGGAACCAGTGAGTTAGAGAGTGGACTCTGTGAGTTGAAGGTAGACTCAGTAATGGAGGGACTCGGCGAGTTGTTCATACAACTCGGCGAGTCCAAGGCAATCTTCTTAAGATCAAGAACAACTCGTCGAGTATGTTCATACGGCTCGGCGAGTCGGATGAAGATTGTCTGAGTTCTTGGATCAAGAGGGTACTCGTCGAGTCGATGCCATACTCGACGAGTAGCAGCGAGTAGGATTGAAAAGTGAGAGTAGGACTCGGCGAGTTGGGTGGCCCAACTCGGCGAGTCAGTCCAAATGAGAGTAACTTTGACCAAGGGTAAAAGAGTCATTTTACCCAAGTGCAGTGTTTAGTATTTGATTGAGTGTGTTTATGGACTTGTAGCCGGGGAGATACAGGAGCAGCAGCCGTTAGCTTCCAGAGCCACACACTCAGCAGCCAGTTTACGAGGTGAGTTTCCTTCCAGTAGGGACGGGTCTAAGGCCACAATGCCGGCCCGTTCAGTTAGCAGTAGTTTCCGGACTTTGGTCCGATGCAGTAGCTAGTATGTTTGATGCCTTCGTGGCTCAGACAGGATTTGTATGCTATGTTTTATGTGTTAAGTGTTATGTGTTCCGGGCTACGGCCCGATGTAGTATGCAGTATATGTGTTCATGCTAGATGATGTGTTATGCTATGCCATGTTCAGTCAGTCAGTTCCGGACTTCGGTCCGATGCAGGGGACAAGGTCCCAGTCGGTTCCGGACTTCGGTCCGATGCAGATAGTTCCGGACTTCGGTCCGATGCAGTTAGTTCCGGACTTTGGTCCGATGCAGTTAGTTCCGGACTTCGGTCCGATGCAGGGGACAAGGTCCCAGTCAGTTCCGGACTTCGGTCCGATGCAGTTTCCGGGCTTCGGCCCGATGCAGTGGGCCAGGCCCAATATGTGTTTATATGATACTGTATGGTATGTGGTAGTTTGGGGGAGCTCACTAAGCTTCGTGCTTACAGTTTCAGTTTTGGTTTCAGGTACTTCCGCAAGCAAAGGGAAGAGCTCGGGGTGATAGCATCGCACACACCACAGCTTA